GTATAGGCAAAACTGTAATAAATTAATGCAAGGTTGTGATAAAATATTCCTTCCCCTCCCTTTATAGTCCATATAGTCCCTATGACAGTGCCACCAGTTGATGAGAGAGTGATTTCTCCAGCTTTAATTTATTCCTCAAATTACCTGGTTTTCAGTGTGTGAAATGCCCATACCAGTGTTCCGTAGGTTCTTTGGACCCATGTAGGTCTAGCCCTGACTATATAAGAAACGCCTGATACATTTCATTCATTAAAAAAGTTAAGTAAACTTCTATCTAATCCATAGGTGTGCGCAGCCTATTGCATTAGATTAGGGTGTCCACCCTAAAGCACAAACACATGCCGCGTGTATATGTATGTATATATATATATACATATATATATACACACACACATACATACACTGCTGTGTGTGTGTGTGCTGTTAGTGTGCTGTGTGAGGGTGCTGTTTGTGTGTGAGGGTGCCGTTAGTGTGCTGTGTGTGTGTGGGTGCTTCATGTGTGTGTGTGAGGGTGCTGTGTGTGAGGGTGTTGTATGTGTGCTGGGTGTTTGAGGGATTGTGTGTGGGTGGGTGCTGTGTGTGTGTGTGGGTGCTGTGTGTGTGTGAGGGTGCTGTGTGTGTGTGTGAGGGTGCTGTGTGTGTGTGTGAGGGTGCTGTGAGGGTGCTGTATGTGTGTGTGTGCTGTATGTTTGGAGGGATTGTGGGGGTGGAGGTGGGGGCAGATTAGTAAATATACCCCCTACCTTCTTACCTTATGTAGGGAGGGGGGATCCTTGCTGCCATGTGCCATCCCTGGTGGTCCAGTGGAGAGTGAACTCTAACCTGTGGAGCTAGAGTTCACTCTTGCAAGATCTGAGCGTAGCCGCTGCAACGCTCAGATTTCGCGAGAGTAACCTGGTGGAGCTGCCGGCTAGAGCTCCCCGGATCCTCTACTGCCTCCCTCCCTGCAGCTGTGAGCCGGTGAGGGAGATCTTTGATCTCCCCACCGGCCCATGGAGGCTTAGAGCAGAGCCGGCACTCGGATAGCACCAGCTCTGCATGAGCCGACAGGGGAGATCCTGAGATCTCCCCTGCCGGTCTCAATCCATAGGCGTGCTGCGGGGATTAGGGTGTGCCCAGGCACACCCGGCACACCCTGTGCGCACGCCTGTGATCTAATCAATGGCCGATTCATTTTAATACAGGAACTAAGGCAAGTTCATATATTTTACCATGCTGATTATATGCAGTACAACAGCTGGATTGACTAGCCTTATGGTTATTTTTGGCCTGCTTGTTTTATTCTTTGCCTCCAGCTCATATCTACTGAGGTGGTCATCCACAAGTATTCATCTCTGAAATTCTATCAATGTTTGGCACTCTGAGGAGGAAATGAGTAAATGGCTAAAAGGAGTAGTCACTCCTTCCTCTTCTAAATATCTCATCATTTCCTTAGTAAATCCAACACCCTTTTGTTCATTTGAAAGTTTAATCCATTGGCTCCTTAACCTGTGTGTGATTCGATAAACTCTCCCTCAATGTGTGGAGATATTATTGTTTCACTGTAGGTCGTAAAGTGCAGGAACATGTAATGGCATGTTAGGGAAGGCTGGTCATGGAGGTCACAAGCTTTTTAGTGCTTTAGCAAGTCACATGCGAACAAGAAATGTGTAAACCAAATTTGCCCTTGTTAACTCTAAGGATGCCAAACAGCTTTACAATTTGTTGCATTAAACTGTAAAACAATACATTCTAATTTCTATGTTTTTAAATCAAATTCATACATGAAAGATCATTTTCTAGTACTCAGCTTGTAGTACTCCAAATACAAGTCAAGTTGCTAATACAATTGTAGGTGAAGTGAGTGAACCTTTATATTGTCCTGGAGTTAGAATTCCAGTGAATTGGAAAATGTGTATCTTTCTTGATGTATGTCCAATTTGAAAAATGGTAAATAATAAGTGATGCTTGATATCAGTAAAGGCAGACATGACTAGTGCACATATTTTAAGCACAGGTGTAGACCAAGGAAACCTGTTGATATTTTCTTACCATGAACATCTACTGGCTGGCGTATTAACAGTGTTTTTACAGACAAGCAAGGAAACAAACTATTGGGGATTTTTAAATGTTTTAACAAATTAGGTTAAGTTAATTCAGACAGATCTTTATGAACAGATCCAATAATGTTGTGAGATGCGGTGACAATCAAGCTTTAAAATGTGTTCAATATTGCCTTACATTCATTTGACTCTGAAATATTTATCCTGGATTACATGTTAAACTATTTCAGGTGTCTTTAGTATAAAATATAAAGAGTTACCTTGTTTAAACCAATATTTCTACAGAATGTACTATTCCTGTCCATTTCTTTTTTTTTTTTTTTTTGGAGAACCAAAAAAAGTACTAAATAACTTAAATAGAAACATAAGCACCATTTATTAGCAATGGATCTTGAATTTGCTTCTGCTGAAATATAATGAATTAGGGCTATAATAATTCACAAATCTATGGAGAGACTTTTTGCCAAGAGGTAGTGAGAGAGAGAAAAAAACAAACTGGGCCCGGTTAGCTGCGTCACACAAGATTTGATCACTTCAGTCTGCGGTGCCAGGAGATTTGAGACAGATGTTCTCAGACACGCTGCATGCCTAAAACATTTCTAGGGGACGGACTGAAGAGCGAGGGAGAGTGAGGGAGAGCACGAGAGAGAAAGTGACTTAATAACAGCAGCAACAGCTGGAGTGTGTGTGTGCAGAAAGAAACAGGAGTTTATTCTTGTCTAGGTGTACTGGCTTCATGCATTACATCTGCCTGTCAGAGCTGGCTGTTTAAGCTGTCATAAACTGTACCTTATTTATTTTATTTTTATTTTTTTCTTTGTAGTCTTTTGATTTTTACCTTTTTTTTTTTTTTTTACTTTAGCCCATGAATAAAGTAAAGCATTGTGATTACTAATCCCACTCCGGTGACTTGACTTTAAATGTGGTTTTGGAGTACATCCCGGATTTCTGTTTGTTAATCTTCCTACTCCTGTGTAAGAGACACCACTGGATACAGAGCAGAGAGCAGTTAGGAGCTGCCTCACTTTCTAAACTTGTCTCTCAGTTTTTAACACATCTGTTTCCATATTTGAGGAGCACGCCAATGGATACCAAGCTGATCTGTCTATTTTTCCTTTTCTCTGTGCCTCCCCTGGCAGTGGGAAACCAGACAGGGCGCATCAAGGTGGTCTTCACGCCTAGCATTTGCAAAGTGACCTGCACCAAGGGACATTGTCAGAACAGCTGTGAGAAAGGAAACACCACCACGCTTATTAGTGAGAACGGACATGCTGCTGATACGCTCACATCCAGTAACTTCAGAGTAGGTAAGTGCTTGAATTCAATCTGGTACATCAGTGTGCTGCTAGAACATACACAGAATGTGCTGATTACATGTGCAGGTAGAATGTACAGAATATACACACGATGATGGGACTTCCCAAAAAAGATATAGAATATACACGTAGTGACTCCTTGTCCTGTTTGAATTAACTCACAATGAGCCAAACCGACGTGTAGATGGAATGTATCCTCATTAAGCTGATCACTGGACAACATATACACTTAGTGAAAAGCTTTTTTATGTTGGTATAATGTATATTTATTGAGCTGACCCAATTTGTAGGTAAAAATATGTACCTACACTGAGCTACCTAACTGTGTAAGTAGAATTTGCTCACTTTTATATAATATACTCCTTCCAGAGCAGGTAGAATACTCATACTGAGTCCTTGTATAAGCTGAATATTCACATTCCGAAATGTCTCACAACCCAGACAGAATATACACAGTCAAAAATACACCACATGCCAACTGACTCCTCTATATTGGCCGTCTATATATAATGAGATTATCTCCTGAGCAGGTGGGACAAATGCACTTTGCAGTAAGCTTTGATACACCTCGGCAATGCATAGCACCGTTAAACATTTTTTTTCATATCTTTTGCTAACCCTTAAGAAAGCTACCTTTATGTCACTCATTCATTCATTCATTCATTTATCCATTCATTCAATTATTCTTTCTTCCATTAGTTTATTTTTTCCTTTACGATAAACCCACATGTAGAATTTTAAAACATTTCTCCCTATGGTGTCTTTTAGCACTTAAAAATGGCACTGTTGGAAACACGAAAGCTAACAGTATTTAATATACATAATTATATTTAAATCACAAACCTCTGCATTATTATGTCACCAAACAAAAAACATGTTTTAGTATATATCTATATGTGGTGTCATTTCATGAAAATATAGACCTAGAATAGGTTTTATATAGTTTCTGGAATGTTATGCATAAAGCTCCTGATATGTTAGGAGTGAGCAGCACTAGTCTGCTAGCTGCTTTTTGTTATTAATACCATAAGTTAGCTATTCTGCACAATGGCAGAACAGCATTCATTCTGTAATATGGATGCTAATACATATATATATGATGGAAAACTTTTCCTTCAGTAAGAGATGCTGGACCAGTTCTATTGTGCTCCATTTAAGTCCATGGTAGTCATCAGGAAGCTCTCCTGTTTTTGTTGATGTACAATCCCATTGTCCTTAGACAGCCTTTGGTTGACCACATGTTAGTTGAAGACATTTGTGAGTGGTTGTCCTGTAATATGAAGGTATGTATGAAGGGCAATAAGATATCAAAGTATATGACTGAATCCTGTCAATGTGCAAGATAATACTTGGATACCACCATGATTTCCTTGATGAGGACAGATTAATATGACTGGACTTTTACCAACACATTTCAATTTATGGCAGAACACAACAATTTAAGATAGTAATTAAACTTATTGGTTTATTATAAATGGCAACTATTCTTAACAAACACATGATTGGACCTTGGATTGTATAAAAAACATATTTTAATAATTTTGCCCATTGCCGTTGATTTACATGTTTCATGGGAGAGTGCATTTGGATCTCAACCTTCTGGTAGACAATGTGTTACACCAGGGCTGTCCAACCTGCGGCCCCCCAGATGTTGCTGAACTACAATTCCCACGATTCTTTCAATTAAAAAGATAGCCAGGGAATAATGGGAGTTGTAGTTCAGCAACATCTGGGGGGCCGCAGGTTGGACAGCCCTGTGTTACACCTTTTAATTTATTATGTAGGGTCTATAAAATACATTGGGGGTTCCCAATGGATTGTTTGTTATGTTGTATGGCTCTAGTATTGTTCACTAGATTGTTCTGGAAATAGCAGATACTTATATTTACTAGATGTCTTTGTCATTTACTCCATTATTCATCAGGTCTTGAATTATAAACATCTGTAGGACGGAGCCAAAACCACAAACCATTCACACCACATTTTTTGTTGAGTCATATCCTGATTTACTTTTACTTTTTCTTCGTTTTTTTGGTGAACTTTATTTAAGAAGATCTCCTCATGCACTAACATGCTCAAACTATTCTTCCAATAGTTATCTTTTAGCTTGACCATAATAATTTGCACAACCAAAATAGTATAGCTTCAGATTTTATGTGGCAGGTGCAGAACACACTAAAACAAAAGCAACAATGCCCAGCAGTACTTTTTCAGGAAGTATTCATATTAGGCAAGGGGCATTGCATGTGCTAATATCTTTTTCATCACCTGCAAGGTGTGAACTGCAATTTCTAGAGCAGTGTCAGACTTGATCCTTTTGTCATTACTTCAAAAAAGTTAACAAATTGCATAGTAGTGGTGGTTCTCCCTAGGCACCCCCAAAATATAGCATTTAAAATAAAGTGATCAAGGATACGGAATACACTTTCAGTTTAATTTGGATATTTAACATTTTCTGCCTGTGTTGTAATACATTTTCTGGAAGCCCTTACTTAATGTCTTAGTCATGCAGGTTGCTTTCAAAAACAGGTTAAAAGAGGAATGTCTAGGCGTCTACGGGAAGGTAAAATATGTACTATGCCAGCAGTATTCTAGATAATATAAACCAAAAGAAAGAGTACGTTTATATTTAAGTAAAGAAAGTGAGGAAGAAAGTAAGAATGCTTATCTTCTATATCATGTTTACATTTTCTTGTCTTTGGTCTGGCTGACTGCATTACTCATTGATTGCTTTTTAAAGTATGTGGGAGAAGTGGCTAAAAGTAAAGGAATTTACCTGTCACAGCTTGTAACACACCTCATTTCTGGAAAGTAATCTGTTACACTTTTCACCCAGGGCAATCATATTTTTCTGTACTACACATTAGTGCAAACTATATTCCTTTATGGAATTCTCCATTAAAAAATAGTTGTTGTTTTTTTGTTTGTTTTTTACAGTTGAGTGGATACCCACAAAAACATATATTGTTTTTCTGCATATTTTCTTTGGGGGTATATGAAAAATAGCTTTCAAAAGCTGCAGACCTGCTGTATGCAGCAAGCCCTACCCTCTTCCGAAGGTACAGACTAAAAGCCTGTGCCAGGGAATATGCCAATCACAGCTTTCACAAGGAGAATGCTGGATCTTTGACTGCATGTGTACATGCACATGATTGTTGCTTTCCTATTTTTCTCAAAGAACTGTATTACAGCTTATTGAAAAAGGAGAGGAGGTCGCGGGGCAGGCGGGCATGCACTAATTTAGCAGGCCAGACATTTCCAAGAGGTAGAAAATCTCCCTGACTGTCTGAGTGAGTCAGAGAGGTGTTTCTGCCCCAATTATAAAAGTGCTGTTTTCTATTAGAATCACAAATATGACAGACTCCAAGCATATAAAGCACTTCAAGAAGCTGGACTGTTCCTTTAAATCCCACTGAATACTGACAGTGCTTTATATCACAGAGCTTCAGAGCTTTATAGATCTTGTTACATGGTTACAAATAAATGCTAAAGTCAAATATCTGGAGGACTTTTTTCCTCATTGGTTTAATAAATTTAAAGTAATTTGAAAACTGATTTACCAATACAAATCTAGAAATTTTAATATTTGTTTATCCAGCATGGCCATGTTATTCTCCTCTTTCATATAGTTGTTTTTTCAAACAGTATTATGGTAGCTATGGTAGCACTGTTTTAACTGGGCAAGTGGTAAATGTATCACTTTACAGCTCTACCTATCACTCCTATCCAGGACATCACACAAACCTCTACGTTTGATACATATGGCTATATACTATAAACTGATGCATTCTTTTTGGTAGTCATGGTGATTTCTCCTTAAATAGTACTTTTCTGCAGTATTGCACCTGTTTTGCCTAGATAAATATGGCCTCGTAATGTACAACAATTATAAAGACTGGTTTGGTGGTGAATTCAATATGAAAAAAGTTCTAAACTATTAGTGAACCTACAAGCTTCTACCACTATGTTATTTGTAGTGCTTATGTTGCTAGGAAGCTATGTCTGCTTGTTTCTTCACAGAAGATGTCAGCAGAGTTCTGTATAATATTACAAAGAGTGTTGCTTCTTTCCTTTATTTGACAAAACAGAGGAAATTTAGATATTGGAACTTTACCCCTACCAGCAGGCTGTTTTGTTGATGTTGATACAAGTATCTCCTGCAGGTCTTTTAGCTTCAAGGCAGAGTGATCATTCCTTAATCCTTTAAATGCTGGTTCTTTCTGTTCTGTATGTATGAGTCCTGGTGTTGATCAAATAATTACCCTGGGGTTTAGTAAATGTCAAAAATCCACCAGCCCTGCTATTTTTCTCAGTGATCTTTGTGACAAACAAGATAAGAAATATTTTGACCAAACACTGATCCAGTGTGTGCAATTAACCTGCCAAGGGCATTAATTCAGTAGAAACCTGATCACTTCTGATAATATTCTCATACTGGACACACAAGCTGACTTACATTAAAAATGAAAACTTGCAGATGAACTTATCATATTATTTTAATTAGGGTGACCAGCCAGTGGCAATATACTTGTTTTTTTCACCTAATAGATAAGTAAATTAGCATATTTATTAGCTGCTGGAGAATACCTTTCACAGATGTCAGTGGGGCATTAAGTAACCTTCCTCTAAGTATAAGTAAGATTAAGTTGCGTAAGATTCATTATTTCGGGGTTGTTTAGCAGAAGCAGTGCAGAATAGAGAAAGAGATATGAGACAAGTTTTACAGTTGGCAGAGGTTGACTTTTACAGTTGACCCGTCATCTCCATGAAGTGGTGTAGGTGCAGTGGTACTAATAGCAACAGCATTTGATTGGAAGAGTGTGGCGTTTGCCTAATTCCAATACATGGATCGATGAACTCCACTGGATTGGAGCAGATCACAGAAGATATCAGCAAGCATGCTGATGTCTTCAAAGGTGGAGCAGGTGGCCGCAACAGAAAAGTCCATTTGTAAATATTCTCTTTCATTTTTAATACCAAAGAGGGAGGTAGTGGACAGAAGGAAACTCATAGTGCTGAAATCCCCCATTATCTTTGGAACTATAGGTTCCCTTTAAGTGGAAAGAGGTTAATGTTAGTTCCTGTTATCAGCGTAGATATGGTATTGAGATTTGCATTAAGTGAAAAATCAAAATCACTCAGCAAGGTAAATGTCTTGATTATATAACTATGTATGGATTTGAATAGGGAAAACCTGCTAATGGAATTTCCTAACCAGAAAACAGTAAGCGTAATTCTGAAGGGCTGAACAATAATTAGCGAGGGAGTAGTTTGCTCTAGGGCACATACTTTTATCTTATAAATCTCCAGTAATGTTTTTTTTCTCCATCTGCACTACATATATTATGTGAAAGTGGTTTAAAGTATGACATGAGTAGAATATTAAACATCATCTTGAGTCACATGTAGATATGTGCATCTGCAAAACGTATGTCATGATTTTGTTATGGTAATCTTCTTATATCTAGTAAATTATTCAAATCTGTCACACTTTGCGTGCCTCACAAGTGTTCCTCTTATAGTCTGTAAAAAGATATTATACTTCCCGAGTGTCCATCGTAAAGTATATTAAACGAAACAAAAATAGCTAAACTGGTAAAAAAAAAATAAACTTTGACTATTTTATAAATTAGTTTTTCAGTTTCAGACTCAGAATTAATAAATATTTTTCTTATAATTGGAATTATAAGCATTATTTTACTACAAAATCCTACCCTCTCAGCGATGACAGTTTTTTTTTTTTTACATATATATATATATATATATATATATATATATATATATATATATATATATATATATATATATATATATAGTTAATACAATGTTAAACAAAAATCTGCACACCAGTCAAGCAATAAGACTTGCTTTTCCCACAAAAATCACAAATCTGCAGTGATGTTACAACCGCAAAGGATTCTGGGTGGGCATATGCAAATTAGTTTAACAAAGAATCACATTTTTGCCTCATTACATTTTAAACATGGATTCCTTTTAATCTGTGTTTGCAGTATACAACTGCATGGAACACAATTTAGGAAAAGATGCAAAACCAGTGAACCACTCATGGACAGCTGTTTCGTTGTTAATGCAACTCTTCAGCATGAGGTTGGTTACTGGTTTGCTTATTGAGGCTTGGTAGTGCTTGGGAAGCAAAATCCAATTAGGTTATGGTGGGCAAAAAATGTGATTGAAAACCCCTTCCACCTGAAGTCTGTGGATAGTTAATACAATATTAAACAAAAATCTGCACATCTGTCAAGCCATAAGACTTGCTTTCCCACAGAAATCCCAAATCTGCAGTGATGTTACAACCGCAAAGGATTCTGGGTGGGCACATGCAAATTAGTTTAACAAAGAATCACATTTTTGCCTCATTCCATTTTAAACATGGATTCTTTTTAATCTGTGTTTGCAGTATACAACTGCTTGGAACACAATTTAGGAAAAGATGCAAAACCAGTGAACCACTCATGGACAGCTGTTTCGTTGTTAATGCAACTCTTCAGCATGAGGTTGGTTATTGGTTTGGTTATTGGTTTGCTTATTGAGGCTTGGTAGTGCTTGGGGACAACCTCATGCTGAAGAGTTGCAATATACTACAACACCGCAATAGAAACATAGAATGTGACAGCAGATGAGAACCAATAGGTCCATCTAGTCAGCTCAATTTGTGGGGGTTTCTTGTGTTTGTTTGTTTTTTTAAATACGTTCATTAGTCACTGGCCCTATCAG